TTACCGCCTCAGTCCATGCTGACATCCAGCAAAAGCTGCCGGCTTGGAGATGTGGTCACTGCCACTTCCAGCTGTATGTACACCTTTCAATCGTTAGCAGAGCCTCGTAAAAGAACCTTGTTTTTTTTTTTAATGCTGAGTCAGAAAGTATCCCTTAAGCAAGCCGCATGAATCTCTGCTTGTTGCTAGCAAAACAGCAGCCACCTGAGAAAAATGCTGCTACCAAGAAACCATGCTTTTCTCCATTCTTTTGTTTCTAAAATTCTTTTAAAGCTTTTGTCATTCTACATGGAAATTCATGGTCCCACTCATGATCACCATTTGTACAGAGAAGCTTTCCCGCCAGCCTGGTTCCAGAGCCACATCAGTCCCAAATGAACACACAGGAGGCTATATTAATTATGAAGCTGTTGGCCTTGCTTGTTTCTTACTGGCTAGCTCTGACTTAAGTATTTATCCCATAATTGCCAATCTAAGTATTTCTCTTACTGGAGAAGTTTCTGGGCTTCTTACCCCTATGGTGGTTACATCTTGACTCCCTGTGTTTCTCCTACCCAGAGTCCTCCTGGACTCCTAGTCCCACCTATTTTGCTTCCCTACTGGCCAACAGCGCTTTATTGACATATACACAGGGCTTCCCTATCAGTTAGTGATTGGAAAGTTGAGAGCAAGTTGAAAGTCAGACTTTGGGGTTGAGGCTGGAGAAAAAGTTCTTGTTGGATCACTCAGAACAGTCCAAGAAACGTGACATCCATCATACACGATGTGAAATCCACAAAGAATCAATAAAAGTTTTTTAAAAGGTGGTATCGATGTTTCAAATAGTTATGCATGGTACTAGTCTCGGCTTTCTGGCATATGTGCAAAGCCTAGTCCATTTGATAATCTTGTTAGCATAAAAGTCAACAGAGGAACCTTACTACCGTGGCTTAGAGAGCATGGCCCTGCATCCAGTGGCATGAGTTTATAGGATGGTCCTTTTCTGTACAGCCTTTCAGGAATCCATCTTGATCTGCGATGTCCCTTCCTGCCGTCAAAGCTGGCTTGTGGCTTTGTTCATACTCCGCCTTAGCAGCATGGGAAAGGGAGGCTGTACCAGAGTAGGTGACTTCTCTATGAAGTCAATGTCCCAGAGGTTGGGACATTGGTCCGTACTTAGTCACATGGATATGTGTTGAATTAAGGAATGCTGACAATGTAGGCTCTAACTGGGGTCAAATCTTCTATTAAAACAGCAGGATTGGGGAAGAAAGGGAGAACAGATTCTCACCAAACAGGGACTTTCTGATATGTGTGGAGCATTGCACCAGATATGTTATAATTCTGAGTTTGGACTTAGCTTAAATAAGAATTAAAATACTTTAAAGATAATAGTACAGAAAATAGCAACTAGAATGCAGTCTGTTCCTAATGGTGTCTTTAAAAAATATCCATTGGGAATAGACTGTATTCTAGTTGCTAAAAAAGACACCTTAACACAGAAAGACAGCAAGAGGCCTGGAGTTTACATAAACACATTTGAATAGAGATGATGTGTTACAAGACAAATGAAAGTCGTTGCTTTACCATGCCACTCCTCTCCAAATGAAAATAAGGTCACCCTGATTCTGAGAAGCCCTATAGGAAAGGGAACGGATTCTAATTAGGATTAAGAACATTATCTCTCTCCAAATGTCTGCAAGCATACAATGCTGGTTCTGTCTATGGCTATACCTATAATTTTGCAATATGACTTTTTAAAAAAAGAGGATACAATTTGGTAAACTGATAACTAATTTAGATAACGCTAATTGTATTGGGTAAAGGATGATTAGGGAAGTCATCAAAGAAACCTCAAGTGTGCTATGCACTGAAAACAGGAATATTGTGTGAAGCCTTATCCTTTCACAGAGAGGTGATTCTTAGATGTACCTGTGTTATACAGCACCAAGAAGAGGTGCTGCTGGAGGCAGAGGTGGAAACGCAGACTGATTATACTGACTACACATTATAGACACAGTACTACACACTATATACACTACACACTACACTATACACTATATACTATACTATACACTGGGCACACTATACTACACACTATATACACTGCACACACTATACTATACACTATATACTATACTATACTATACACTGGGCACACTATACTACACACTATAACACTATACTACACACTATATACACTGCACACACTATACTATACACTATATACTATACTATACTATACTATACTATACACTAGGCACACTATACTACACACTATAACACTATACTACACACTATATACACTGCACACACTATACTATACACTATACACTATATACTATACTATACACTGGGCACACTATACTACACACTATAACACTATACTACACACTATATACACTGCACACACTATACTATACACTATACACTATATACTATACTATACACTATATGCGCTATACTACACACTATAACACTATACTACACACTATATACACTATACACACTATACATATACACACTCTACTACACACTATACAGAACACACTATACTTCATACTGTAACACTATGTTATACACTATGCACACTATACTACACACTATACTGTACACAGTCATACTACAACACTATACTATACACTGTACACACTCTACTACACACTATAACACTATACTACACACTATATACACTATACACACTATACATATACACACTCTACTACACACTATACAGAACACACTATACTTCATACTGTAACACTATGTTATACACTATGCACACTATACTACACACTATACTGTACACACTCACACTACAACACTATACTACACACTGTACACACTCTACTACACACTATACACGTTACACTAATACTATGCACACTATAAGCACTACACTACACATTATACACCTTAACACAGAAAGGCAGCAAAAGGCCTGGAGTTTACATAAACACATTTGAATAGAGATGATGTGTTACAAGACAAATGAAAGTCGTTGCTTTACCATGCCACTCCTCTCCAAACGAAAATAAGGTCACCCTGATTCTGAGAAGCCCTATAGGAAAGGGAACGGATTCTAATTAGGATTAAGAGCACTCATTGGAGTGACAGCCCTATCACTTTGGTGTCAAAGGCACCAAAGATATTAATCTCTGGTAATAGTCAACTGTCATCTTACTCAAGCTTTTAACTTCAATGGACACTTGTCCCTGAAATCTTCCCATTCCCTGGCTTCCTGGACTTCAGACTTTTCTGATACCTTAGAAACCAAACTCTCCCATTGTCCCTGGCTGTATCCTCCCTCTCTCAGAACCCAGGCAGCTCTTACCCAAACCTGTTTGCTGGTTCTCATAAGCACTCAGCTGGGCTTCATTGTGAATCTCCATTGCAATTTAGAGGAGTCACGGGTGCAGATCCTAGGCCTAGTCCTCAAGGTCTTTCTCTCCACACGATACAGACGCTCATGGTGACCTGAAACACCAAAGCTGGGAGGTATAGGGTAGCTGCAAAGTGACAGGAGAGTCACTTACCAGAACACAACATTGGATTTGGTATAAGTAAGAAATCAGCTTCAGTGTTTGAGCCACTAGATTCTGGGGTTTGTTTGTTACAGCAGATAGCACCAACTCAACAAATGTACTCCACAGTTTCCGCTTCCTTTAGCAGCAAGTGACCAGGGCTTAGTCCGTGGGTTTCTTCTTCTGCAACCTTTGTGGCCTCACCCAGCCACAAGCCCAGATGATTTAAGTCCAAATGCTTTTCAATGCCATCTCTGCTTTTGTAAAACAAATTCTTCCATCTGCTCAGTATGAAAATTAATCTTGGACATTGCACCTCATCTGCTGTTAAATGCCATGAGCTCAACCTCCTCAATACCTAATAGCTTTCCTTTTTTAGAACTTATTGTCACCCTGGTCTTACATCTCCACCTGGAATGCTGGGATCACCTCACACCCACTTTCTGGTTTCTGTCCTGGCCCCTATTCACTTGATTTCTAATATAGTCAACAAGATCAGATCGGGTCACTCCTCCGTGCGAATCCTGTATGGCCTTGTGGCTCACTCTGAAAGAACACGAGAGCTCTCTAAGGGCCAGACACAGCACTTGCCACCTCTCAGACCCCATTGCCACCACTCTCAACCTCGGTGCTTGTCACACAGGCCTGCTGGACGCTCCCCTGGAGTCCCCATCCCAGGCCGTCTTCCCCCTTTCCCACTGCAGTCTCGGGACCTTCTCGTCCTCAGTGCGTAACAACCTTAGTGGCAGATTTCCCTGGCCATCCATTTCCATTGCAACCCCTCTCCACACACCCACCTCCCTTCTTCATTCTTCCTCCAGGCATAACCATCATACATGATTTCTTTGGTTAAATTGCTTTCTGTCTTTTCTTGCTGGAATTTAGCTTAATGTGAGCAGATATTTTTGTTGATTTTACTTTTTGCTACACTTCAGCACTGTGAGCAAGGTTTAGCCGGCTGAGGTCTCAAGAAAGTGATGGGAAAGTCCTGTGTATATGTCAATAAAGCACTGTTGGCCAATAGGGAAGCAAGATAGGTGGGACTAGGAGTCCAGGAGGACTCTGGGTAGGAGAAACACAGGGAGTCATCATGTAGCCTGCCAGAGAAGTAAGATGTCCGTCCGGTAAGAGAAATACTTAGATGGGTTAAATACTTAAGTCAAAGATAGCCAGTGAGAAACAAGCAAGGCCAACGGCTTCATAATTAATACAGCGTCTTGTGTGTTATTTGGGGACTACAACACGGCAGAGCCCAGGCAATTGGTGGGGAAAAACCAAAGCGGCTGGAAAGGAAAAGGCTTCACTCTACACTCTACTCTATCCCTTTAATCCAGCACTCAGGAATCAGAGGCTGTCAGATTTCTATGAGTGTGAAGCCCACCTGGTCTACAGAGTGACTCTCAGGGTAGCCAGAGGGACCCTGCCTCAGAGGCGGGCAGGGTGTTTGCAGATTGAATGACTGAACAAATTTTCTCTACTCCTCTTTTTTTTTTCTAGCCAGGAAATTTTAGACTTTAAAGCATGGTCTGTAAAGCAAGCCCTAGAAGCAATACAGTGGAGATGGGAATAACTCAGTCATTACCGTGAGCCTCCTGAAGAAATATGGAAGTAACTCAGTCATTACTGTGAGCCTCCTGAAGAAATATGGAAGTAACTCAGTCATTATCATCAGCCTCTGAAGAAATATGGAAGTAACTCAGTCATTATCATCAGCCTCTGAAGAAATATGGAAGTAACTCAGTCATTACTGTGAGCCTCTGAAGAGAAGACCCAGAGGAATTCCGGACAGCAGTCTACACGGGGCCATGCTCTCTCCATTCTCACAGGGTCAGCCAGCAGCAGTGCCACTAAGCATTTGTGAACTGATAACATCAGGAAGCCCCTAACCAGGCATCATGATGTGGTACCTAAGCCTTGGCAGAGCCGTGGATCTAAAGCCCCAAGAGCTGCCCTCCGAAGCGGGCCACGAAGACCTGGTCTTCTTCAGACTGTCTCTCGCGTTGGGACTTGGCCTTTCTGGTCCTGCAGAATAAATATGCTCATTCTTTCTTCTGGCAGTCAAGACTTGTTCTGCAATCCCAAAAAGGCCTGCCCTTTGTTTGTTTGTTTGTTTTTCAAATTTTTTCTTCCTTTTTTAAAATTTAAGTTAGAAAACAAGTTTGTTTCATATGTCAATCCCAGCTCCCTCTCCCTCCCCTCCTCCCCATCCCTCCCCACCAGGCCCCCCAGCCCCCCCAATCTCCACTCTGACCCCCAGGGAGGGTGAGGCCCTCCTTGGTGGATCTCCAGTAACTGTCATTTCATCCAGGGTAGGGTCTAGGCCCTCCCCCAAGAGTCCAGGCTGAGAGAGTGTCCCTTATTGTGGCATGGGCACTCAAAGTCTATTTGCACGCCAGGGGTAAATACTACCCAAGGCCCCATAGATTGCCTAAGGCCTGCCCTTTGAAGAACAGATGTGTTACTCAACCAGCGCTCGCACACTCCCCAAACTGAACCCAACCCATTAGTGATGGCAGCAGAGCTATGCTGCCTCTCACCAGCATCCAGGATCAATCAGCCAGCACTTGAAGCTAATGTTGCCAAGCTTAACGTGTCAAACCAAATATCTCGTATAATATTATTAGATGACTATGCTGTTTGAGACAGAGTCTTGTTTCCCAGGCTAGCCTCCAGCTACCTATGTGGTTGAGGACAGCTCTAAACTTCTGATCCTCCTGCCTCCGCCTCCCAAACCCTGAAATTTTAAGTGTGTGCCACTGCAAACTGTATAGTGCTAGGGATCGAACCCAGAACCTCATTCTTCTTAGGCAAGCACTCTATCAGCCGAGCTGCACCTCCAGGTGACTGGACATTTCATAAATGCACGTGTGCACTGTTCTTTATTAAAAACATCATGAAGTCAGTGTACATAATTAAGGGAAATTCAAGAAAAGGTTAAAGAAAAAAGTGAAAGAGGAATGAGGAAGCAGAAAGCATGGAAGGCTAGAATATTCGTAGTTTCAAAGGTCTACATGGTTAAGAGAGGGGCGTGAGACTGACAGTTGTTTCTCCTGTGTAAGGAGCCGGCAGAGGCTGAAAACACGACCAGAAACCTCAGTGCACACAGCACCCGTCACTTGCCCACTTCAGAACCAGAGCAGCTCCTGTTTCTCAGTGAACGTGGAAATCAGTCTGCATCAACCCAATTACCCTGTCATCAGCCGCATTTCGTGACAGACAGGGCCATTTAGACATTATAAACAGCCCAAAGTGCAGATTTCACTTACCCGTGTCTTCCGTGTGAAATGAAGACTCCAGCTATGAAGTACAGCGCAACATCTCGTACTGAAAAACCATGAGAGATTAAGCGCAGATTTGGCTCGGCCTGTGAAGAATGATGTCAAGTGATGTTGTGGGGGGTAATTATTGTGAAGACTTAATTCCTGTGTCATCAGGTATTTGTAGATATACAAAGCATTCCCCTGATTAAACAGCATTCAAGGTGACTACATAGTCCCTGTGATTGACAGTTTACAGCTTAGACAGACTAAAAAGATTAAAAACATTAGAAAGTGGCGGTGACTTCTTCCCCTCAGGACACTTCCGCCCCGCAAGGAAACCGATCGAGAGTTCTAATAATATTGCTAACAGGTAAATTCTCAAGTGTTTGCTTGCAGCTGTCCATCCCCGGTAAGGAATGCAAATCCTGTTATGCATCTTTTTCATCTTGGCGAGGTTCCAGTGGCTCGAAAGTCAGGCAGAAGGTGAAGGCAAAATATAACTTCCGTGAGACTTAACATACCCTGAGACATGTCCAACTTCTAGGAGCAGATAATGTTTTAAAGCTGTTAGCCAAGATCAATTTGTTTTATATCTGATACATTCTATCAGGAACAGAGTCGAGGGTACCCAAAATTCAGTTATTCATAATTCCAGGTAACCAACATTGCTTCTCGGTAAAATTTCCCCTGTAGCTAGCTGGTCCTTCACTGATTTACATGATTTCTGATTATATACCTAGGTATGCCTTGCCTCAGCCCCTCTTTTTGTCTCTAAGATTCAGAGAGTTCTTAAAATCATCTTTAAGTTAATATTACTGCTTCCTACACAGATATGATCATAAAACCTTAGAGTTCTTTGAGCTTTGTAAAAAAAAGTATTTCTTTCCTCCCCCTTTATCTCAAAACAGCTGTAGTATCCAGGTGCAAGGTTTGTCAAAGGAGTGCTAAATGAAGGGACTCCACCATTTGCAAAATATTTGTAAGGCCCTTTAATAACTAAAGTATGCAAACCTTTTAACGGTCTCACCGAGTAGATGATACAAGCAGAATTGCTTCTGTGTCATAGTTGAGACATCTAAGGCACAAGGATCAAGTAGTTTGCCTAAATCTCAAGACTTTTGAGAACCTGCGTGAAGATGATCATCCAAAACTGCTGTTTCCCAGTCTAAATGTCCTACCAAGACTGTCCTAGAACCTGCTGCCCTGCAGTGAGAGACACCCACAACTTCTGCAAGTTTTGTCCCTTGAGGCCAGACAACCATCACTAAGGCTCCTTACTGACTAAGAAGGCTGCGTTTTGTGCTAATTGGGAGCATAGGCTTTGCCCCCTGACATACCAGGGTAAATCTTGGTGGATGCTATTAATTGTTCATGAAATGGGCATGGGGTTCTTGTGAGAAGAAAGAGAAGCAAGACCCTGCCCTGTTGTATCTGGCTCCTAGTACATGCTCTGTGGGTTACTGTTACTGCTATTATTATTCCTAGACGAACTCCAGAGCTGTGCTGCCGAACCTGCCGCCATGTCCACGTCTCCACACCAGCTGTCTCCTCCGGCTCCAGCCAGCCTGGCTCATGGCCCCAATACTCGGCTGAAACTAACGGTCTCCTGTGGATAAGTTCTTCCTTCCCACCCATCCAGAACTCTCTCCCCTGGATGTTCTTCAGGCTTGACATCAGCACAACTGACCGGGTGCTTTCTCTTCTGAAAGTAGGTCTCCTCACCCTTCTGAGTTTTGCCTGTCCCAGGGAACGAGTCTTAGACTTACTCATTCAACTGAGCATGGCGAGGGTTGAAGTCTTATTTACCCACCCATGTTTCTCCCGTGTATCTGCTACCTCTTCCACCACAACAGGGAATTGGCTTAGCCCTACACATTGAGTCTTGTGGGGAGTCACAGGATGGCAGAAACAAGCAAACAAACAAAATGCCTCACCATGTGGTTGCCCCTGCAAGCCTCCAGGGATGTGGCTGCAGAATCCCCAGGGGTTCATTTCTCTCAGGCTGTCATCTGAGGGCAGAATAAGGAAATAGCACCTCCCCTTGTTTTAACTCTTAGCAATCTCTCTGCAGGGCAGAATGAGAATGCATACCTTAGCTCTAGTGTCCCACCCACAGGATAACCTCAAACTCATACAACTGGGCCAGCCCCCCGACACTGGAACAAATGGGGCTTCGGTGCCCTGCTTGAGTCCCCTCTGCGTATGGCCAGAGATACAGCCACAGCTGTCACAATCTGTCCTATGGGATCCTGAGAACCCTTCTAGAAGCTCAGAACTCTCCCCTCCCGGTTCTTTTAGTCTCCTTCCCAGACAGATGCCACGGTGAGTCTTACGGCACCCTTGCTGCTGTTCCGTGGAGTGTCATAGATTAGGGGTGCTGTTGTGCTCCCCCAATCCAGGGCATCCTTGGGTACCTTCCTATGTTAATGTGGGTACAGAAAAGACTTGTGGCTGCTGATGCAAAGTGATTCTAGCAAGGAAGAAATTTGGGGTCAAAGGGTGGGAACTCTAGAGCCTCTTTCTGCTTCTGCAGTCTGTGCCTGGAGAGACCCTAAGTGTGGTGTAGACATGCATGTCAGTGCCCTTTCACAGAGAAAATAGGAAATGAATTCCAAACAATACTGGAAACAGCTGACCCTTTTAGCACAAAGCTTAAATATGCTAGTGCTCAGCCAAGGCAGCATGTGCAGAGTAAATATTTTAATCCCTAATTAATCACTTTGGTTAGATTGGTAAAACAGAAGTCTAATGAAAATAATTTGAAATTTCCTTCATGAATAATTGCCTTGTTCAGGGAATTGTGGGAAGAGTCAACTGACTGACCTTCCCTCCTCACTCAGCTGTACTGCTCGGAGACTTAATTTGTGTCCTTCAACCCCTTTCAGTCACCGTTATGAGATTAGAAATACCTTCTGTGCAGTTTAGCAGCAACGACGCAGTGTGACAGTTAAGTCGCAGAGAGGTAAAGGATGGAGCGACTCCTGGCTGGCTCGCTCGATGCGGAGCCTGGTGGTGCTTGGTGTCCGTGTGGGGGAGCATCTCCGAGACCCTGCAGTCTTTATTAGGCTGGGAACATGATGAATTGCTGCAGGTGATTGAACTGCTCCTGTTCCCCCCCCTTTTTCTTTTTCTTTTTTTTTTTTTAATTAGAAACTTGAATAATAAGGTGCCCAGGGTTTAGGCATTTACAAACAGGAGAGAAGGAATTTTCCAGCTCTGAGTGCTGAATGCTACCTTGATTAGCAGTATGGCACCAGATTTAATTATTTCTTTGAGTAAATCAAATCTTTCTCAGAGGGCACTGTTTCCTAGTGTGTAGAGACCAAAGGTTAAGCCACCTCAGTCGTTACCGATTCAGACATGTTGGAACCTGTTAGATCTGAGCCGGGAGTGTACTCCACTCCGTATCACTTGCCCGTTCTCCCAATCTTCCTCCCACTGCCCCCCAGTCCTCTTCAGCAATGAATGCATTGCTTATCTGGTTGGAATGTCCCTGGGAGTGATGGCTGGCACTGGGCCACGTGGCTGGTGCACACTGGCTCGCACTGCCATCATTGCTAAAAATTGCCTGGTCCACCAGTCGCTTTGGCCGGTTCTGTGGACTGTCAAAAGCCACCTGGTGGACCATCTGCCACCTCCCCCTGGAGGTTCCTTCTCTCTTTTGTTTTCCAGTCTGGTCCTCTTTCTCAATCTTGCTCTTTTATTTGGGAGATTCACATATTTGGGGGAATTTTGCTTTTGCTTCTTAGCAGTCAGAAGGGCAGGGTGTTCTTGGGTTGCTGGAATGCCACTTGGAT